AAACCGCTCATTACGGACACCTCGTCAATACGGCCAATGTCTGTTATTAACGGGTTTTAACTGTATAGCTATTTAGGAAGGGGGTAGAGAAGGGAGAAGAGATTGACACAAAGATAGTTTCGTGGGAATATAAAGCATAGCACAGTGTATCGAGAACTGTGACAGAGATTTGGCTGAATTACATGTGCCTTGAAGCAAAAATATTGTTATACGGCTTCTTTATGGCTTAAAACCCTAAACGAACTTAACTTGTAAAGGCTGGGAACTGCGAGAATCATTTATTTCATATCTTTCCTCCAAGAGTGAGTGAAGTGACAAGCGCATAATTTGAAATCCGTGCGGAGATTGACGTTGTCTGGTAGGCCGCGCGCAAAGTGTTCATCAGTAATCGCATGCGTTTTGAGCCTACAGATTTCGCCACAGCTCGCCCGAAACATGCCATAAATGGAAATAACAAAAAAGTGCCATTCCCTTAAAATTACTCACGCATAATCAGCAATAACGTACCGTCATAACTGACTTTGCCATCAGCATTTATGTCTACTCTTTTAATTGCATCATCGATTTCCTCCTTGGAGTAGGTTTTCCCTCCAAAAGTCTTCATCACCAGAGCAAATTCGTCTCCTGTAATGAATCCATCCCCATTTTGGTCAAATTTTTTAAAATAATACTTGAGATCATCCGCTTCCAATGGGTCATCGATTTGACTGGCCATCAGGTCTTCGAACTCGGCGTATTCTACCATTCCATTCCCTGGAATAGAAAACAAATGATGATAACAAGCGCGCAAGCTGAGAAAGGGCACGACATCCAACTACGGGACAGATTAAACAGCCAGCTAGGCGTTGCCGTGCTTTGTTTTATGAGGAAGCATTGGCCCATGCAAGTCCTAAACTTCAGCACACAACTGATAATAATAACAATAATAATTCAAACATATTTATACAGGATTGCTGCATCAGTTTTAAGAAAAAACTGCTATCATTGCAGGTCCTGTGATGATGTGTTATCTCCATTGCTCTCTATATTAAGGTTTCATTGGTACTAAACTTGCTACCAGTAAAGCTTAATACATTTTTTATTACACCCTAAGTCACGAGTTAAGTACAGCAGGGAAATTAAAAAAGGAGCAATTTTGTGCAGGAGCGTTTTTGCTCTTCACATCGAATTCTACAATGCAACTTCCTCATTTGAAAATTTGACTACCAGTAATGCGTATTAAAGTTCTCGAAAAAAACCCACTGATAATATATACTGCGATATTTAGGACTGAGATTCATTTCATCCAAATACGTCTACCACTTTTTTTTTTATCATAGCACCTAAATTTTCATTCGCTTTAGAGAGCCTACCAGTTGATAAATGGTCAGAGCTATCGTAAATGCACAGTAAACCACTCAAAAAGGTAAAAAGAGAATGCGTGCGCAGCGAGATTTTGGGTTCGCTAGTATTGAGTGCGCACACGTAGCCTATGTACCTCGCGCTACATTTTCCTCGCGCGTGGGCTTTCTTCACTGTCATCTCTCCTCGCTCCTCGCAGCTAGGGAACTTCCGCCGGAAGGGACATTCGCGCCTCTTCGATTCCATACTGACGACGTAAATCAATGTTTACATAAATCCGGAAGTCATGGGGTTCCAAAATATGTAATTTTGTTCAATTTTTTGTTTCATTGACCTTTAATTGTCCAGGTTTGTCTGTCGTTAGTAAACAATAGCTAAGACAATACAACTACTCCACAGACCAATAAGAGCTACTAATCAGATTCTGGACAGATTTTACGTCATCAGTATGGAATTTCTGTCACTGAGACGCAGACGTCCCTCTTGGCCAAACGTCCCTCAGAGAGACTGCTGTTTTCGCAAGCTACTTTCTTCCATTCCTTCTTCCAGCTAATTTATAGTATCGCCATGAAAGGAAAGAGCCATACCACTGCGGTCCACTGCCTTAATCATGTCTTTAATCTCTCCTTCCGACAAATGTTGCCCAGCCTGCTTCATTGCCTCACCGAGCTCCGCCACTGAGATATGACCATTGCCGTTTTTATCAAAGAGCTTGAAAGCTGCTGAAATTTCTGTTTAAATATAAATGATGTAGCTAGTTAACGTCAAAAGAATGGCCCTCGTACTCACACAGTATAAAAGTCTCAATAAATAAATTTTAAGACTCTAATTAAAGAATGGAAGATTATATAAATTTTTTTTTACAAAATTACTACCTTCTTTTTGTTCCTCAGTCAGTCTATTAGCCTACAAAGAGAAGGTTATAACAATTATTTAGAGTCACTGTAGTGCTTATAAAAATCAGATTAGAAGACACAGCCTAAAGCGAGGATTTGCTTAGTTTGCTCATCGCGTACATCACCAGTAAGCAGAAGTGAAAATTTGCTTGTACTCTCAGCCGGCATTTCGAGACCCTTTCTAATTCAGCCCATTGACAGGAAATTGAAGAACGTTTTTTTGACTTCGGGACTGATTTTTTTGTGCTTTTGTTTAACTGATTAGTCGTTTTTTTAGTGCGTAGGCGAGATTGTTCTCCTCCGCAGAGCTTCCCGCACGGTATCCCAATGAAAAATAGCAACGATCTTCCCATCTTTCCCTGCGCGTTTCTCTTTTTCATCTCCCCAATCTCGCTTCGAGTTTTTGTCTTAAGGTCGGTACACACTAGGCGACAAGTTGCAGCAACACGTCGCGGCGACAGATCGCTCCATGTGTACAGGTCGCACAAATTCTGTCTGATTTGATTTTTTGCAACGTGTTGCTGCGACAAAATTCTGTTGCAGAGACAAAGATTTTCACAAAAATTCTCCAGTACACACGAAGCGATTTGCCGCTGCGACGTGCTGTCGCAACAAGTTGCTTCAACTTGTCGCCTAGTGTGTATCGACCTTTAATGTATGGTGCTTCGGATGGAGTTAGATCTAGTAGTCCCTTTTGGACTTTCGCAAACGACCTTTTTTGGAGCGAATGTGAAGCGGTTCCTTCTCCGCTCGGTCATTCCCACCAGTCTCGTAGTACCGGCTTGCACTTTCTTCTCTCTTATCGCGGTGCACAGGATGGCATTGTTGTGGTGTATAGAGCACGGGGATAACTTAGTTCATCCTCCCTTGCCAATACAAAGAGAACGCGCCTCACGCGTTTTTCATTATTCCTGTGACGTTCTCTATTTTCCGCTGCATCACTGACTNATAGCTAAGACAATACAACTACTCCACAGACCAATAAGAGCTACTAATCAGATTCTGGACAGATTTTACGTCATCAGTATGGAATTTCTGTCACTGAGACGCAGACGTCCCTCTTGGCCAAACGTCCCTCAGAGAGACTGCTGTTTTCGCAAGCTACTTTCTTCCATTCCTTCTTCCAGCTAATTTATAGTATCGCCATGAAAGGAAAGAGCCATACCACTGCGGTCCACTGCCTTAATCATGTCTTTAATCTCTCCTTCCGACAAATGTTGCCCAGCCTGCTTCATTGCCTCACCGAGCTCCGCCACTGAGATATGACCATTGCCGTTTTTATCAAAGAGCTTGAAAGCTGCTGAAATTTCTGTTTAAATATAAATGATGTAGCTAGTTAACGTCAAAAGAATGGCCCTCGTACTCACACAGTATAAAAGTCTCAATAAATAAATTTTAAGACTCTAATTAAAGAATGGAAGATTATATAAATTTTTTTTTACAAAATTACTACCTTCTTTTTGTTCCTCAGTCAGTCTATTAGCCTACAAAGAGAAGGTTATAACAATTATTTAGAGTCACTGTAGTGCTTATAAAAATCAGATTAGAAGACACAGCCTAAAGCGAGGATTTGCTTAGTTTGCTCATCGCGTACATCACCAGTAAGCAGAAGTGAAAATTTGCTTGTACTCTCAGCCGGCATTTCGAGACCCTTTCTAATTCAGCCCATTGACAGGAAATTGAAGAACGTTTTTTTGACTTCGGGACTGATTTTTTTGTGCTTTTGTTTAACTGATTAGTCGTTTTTTTAGTGCGTAGGCGAGATTGTTCTCCTCCGCAGAGCTTCCCGCACGGTATCCCAATGAAAAATAGCAACGATCTTCCCATCTTTCCCTGCGCGTTTCTCTTTTTCATCTCCCCAATCTCGCTTCGAGTTTTTGTCTTAAGGTCGGTACACACTAGGCGACAAGTTGCAGCAACACGTCGCGGCGACAGATCGCTCCATGTGTACAGGTCGCACAAATTCTGTCTGATTTGATTTTTTGCAACGTGTTGCTGCGACAAAATTCTGTTGCAGAGACAAAGATTTTCACAAAAATTCTCCAGTACACACGAAGCGATTTGCCGCTGCGACGTGCTGTCGCAACAAGTTGCTTCAACTTGTCGCCTAGTGTGTATCGACCTTTAATGTATGGTGCTTCGGATGGAGTTAGATCTAGTAGTCCCTTTTGGACTTTCGCAAACGACCTTTTTTGGAGCGAATGTGAAGCGGTTCCTTCTCCGCTCGGTCATTCCCACCAGTCTCGTAGTACCGGCTTGCACTTTCTTCTCTCTTATCGCGGTGCACAGGATGGCATTGTTGTGGTGTATAGAGCACGGGGATAACTTAGTTCATCCTCCCTTGCCAATACAAAGAGAACGCGCCTCACGCGTTTTTCATTATTCCTGTGACGTTCTCTATTTTCCGCTGCATCACTGACTGACAACAAGGGAAAAACATTTCACTCATAACCACAATTCGAGAAAAAAAATGGTGTAATACGCCTAGAATATATGGACACGATTTTCAGCTCTTTCATTTTGTTCTAAAAAATGGTCATTTAATGCATAAGCACATTTTCTGCCAAAGAAAATCAATATTTATAAATAGTTACAACAAATAAATAAAAGATTAGAAGAAGACAGAAGAAGACATCTGAGTAGAGTTTTTCGTATCGCGTTCTATTTGAATTATGCGCAAAAAAACATCACTGTATATATTAATGTTTAGAGTGTTTACAAGATATGTAAGGTAGGAACTAAATTAAAGCCTTTTAAAAAAATACAATGCATGATGACTCTATAAGGAGAGGAATTATGCTAATACATTGAAAAATACAAGCATATTAAATACATGTATTGAAATGGTTTTTATGAGGAGACTCTTCTGAAAATTGTGTAAGAGTTAATATGGTGCAGATGTGTAGTGCTTTTGATGTCTTAGCTTTTATAGCACCCATTTAGGGCAGTTAATAGGCAACAAAACCGTCTCAAGGTTAAAACCTTCACTACATTAATATATGTATCTGAATTGAATTTAATTTATTACTCGTCATTATAAGAGCTTCAACCTAACCTGGCTGCCGAGGTTATTATTTTTTTCTTTCCTCGGGCTCACGGCTTATTTCTTCCTAGGTATTTCGAGATCGCAGCTCTGGAGCCAGGGCAGCCATAACCCTGCTTCACGAGTACCATATCATCCGGTCGTAAAAAACTCAGTCATTCTTATTTTTGTTTTTAGGGCGTTGTAAGCGCTTGGTGGCAAATGTCTATGACGCTACTGTCCTAATGGCAGCCGTAAATAAAAGGCTGAAAATACCCGGTTATCATTTCAGACAGCTTCGTTCAAATGGCTGCTTAAATCAGCTGGAAAAATAAAATAACTCAGTTTCCTTTCTTGCATCAACTTGAAGCGACATGTTTATCATTAATTACCTCAGTTACGTATATAGTTTACGGAGCTTACAGCTTTAAATAAAGAAAACTGAAAAGATTAACATAACATATGGGTTAAAGACTGCTAGTTTCACCAGTTTCTCACCATATTTTTGAGGATTGTTACTTTACTTCTTGGTTGACAACGGCCACAGTTTGTAGAGAGAACGAAGGAGCGGTGAATGGCACTCGTGAAATATATAATCAAGGCTTGGCTGATTGCCGGCAAGAGACTGGTGTAGCATTCATGAACATTCGGTCAGTATTAATTTTAACTGGTTTTCTGATTGGTCAGTAAGTTTTGTTATCGCATTACAATAAGGCATGCATTCTTGAGCTTCACTAGCAAAGATGACTCAGGCCCTGTCCACATGTATCCGTATTCGTTTGAAAAAGCAACTTTTTTTCTCCTTCTTCAAAAAAATTCGCGTCAACTCGTAGCGTTTTCGCATCGTTTTCGCCCGTCCACACGTACAAGCGAATTCTGCTGACAATTGTTTATATTTTTCCTCATTAGCATACGATTTAACTCATAGAACCCGTGGCCGTAAATATGAACTAAATGTAAAGGCTGAGGGAGCTGATTAAGTTGAGCAATTTGTGTAATTTTTAACTCTTACTTTGCAAGCAATATTGAAGAAAATATCAGCCATAAAATACTGCGAAATTGCTGTGTGGCAAAAAAGTTAATGAGCCATACATTCTCTGTAAAAATCAGTTTGGAGTTTTTAGAAGAGCATTTCCCCGAAACCGGTGTATTGGGCCCAAATTTTCAGCGATAACTGAAACTGTTATGCTCTTTCAATATTCAGAGTTTTTTTAAAAAAATTTATTAGCGTCATCACATAGACAGAATTATATATTAATGAGGCAAAAAGTGTAAACAAAAATTCGCCTATACGATAAATCGATTTGAAAACGATAACTTACCCGACTGCGCATGCTTGACGCATACGTGTTCGCTATTATGAGCCCGCGAAATAATAAATTGGCGCCACCTTTGAATTTCTTTGGTGTGGGTTTATATTGTTGTGACGTTCTTCAAAGTCGCAGGAACAGTTAAGAATGTCAAATTCCGGGCAAAAACACAGACAAACACTGCAGGGAGATCCAAGCTTCCGCCTCTTGACACCGGTAGCGAAACACTGAACCTGATAATGCTCTGTAACCTCCTGCAATAATCAGCTTGAAGAATCACAAAGCTAAATTTGTTTGAAAACAAGCAATTAGGTTAGAAATAAGCCCAAGGATAAAAGACAAGAAAGTGAAGCGCCCGTCCGCCATTTTTTGGAACTGATGGTGTGCCTTCAGCGTTTTCGAAAAGTTCCGTTTTCTCCGGTCCACACGTACACGCGAAAACAGCGTTTTCAAAACGTTCCACTCAGGTGAGCGTTTTCGAAAAGTTCGGGGTTTTCATTAATGGTT